GGGCACATATTGTATAATATGCATAAAATCTGTAGAAACATGCACTAAACATCTGCTTCACCACACAGCCTACACTGACAGAAATTAGGCTGATTTTCCTTTTGGGTCGATGGGATATCTATCCAGCAGACCTGGTATTATCTGGAAAAGGAATTTAGAAATGTTGTTCAATTTACAGCAATTCCACTGATAAGTGTCCTCTGTGTATCAGACCCTCCCACCCTCCATAGACATATACAGAAAATTGAGGAGGGATTCTTCCTCTTAATCTTCCAGGGATGCTCTTTTCAACCCACAGCCATGCTACAAATGATCAATACGATTTGGTTAAAAATGTCGGCTCAGCTCCAGTTTTCAGCCTTCAAAACTGTGAATATATATTTGAAAATTTGTGGGCAATGCTGCTTGCATAGTCAAAGACGGGTGCTTGTTGAGCAGGAATGCCAGTGAATTTGGTGGAGATAATTTGGCTTGCATGTTTTCTAGTAATCCTACCCCCTGGATATCATGCTGCCTGCTCTGTTAGCACATAGATGCCTTACAGAAAGATAGCACAGAGAGTAATGAAACCTACGAGGAATGGGGTTTTGCATATCTGCTGGAGTAATTTGAAAAGGAGGGTATTAACCAGGAATGTGGCACCATCCTAAACATCTTCCTCTTGATGTCATAGGGACTAAATCAGATCAGCTTGGTTTAGTCTCTTTGACATCAACAGGAAGAAGTGGACTGTGGATCAAAGCCGTACTCAGTGCTAACTTCCCAGAACTTAATATTTTTAAAATAAGCTTACAGTAATATGCCATAACATCAATAAACCACGAGGGAATATTCACAATGCATCATTTCTGATTGCAGGCTACCTCTCCTGAATACAAAAAAGGAATCTCTTATAGTGAAGATATGGGGTGCACAGCCTTTACAAGGATTCTTACAGATGTAATAATAATAATAACAAAATCACACTCCTCATTTGCATCTACAGAAGGACTAGGCTGTAAATTATACCCATTCCTTTTTAGAATACTGATTTTAAATCAAATGCACCCACAAAGACAACTGTGCGTAAACTGTGCTTTTAAAACAAACAAACAAACAAAAACCCCAATTGTAGTTACTGTAATTAAATGGAGCATTTTACAAGCAACCAGGGACTGCTTTGGATAGATGAATGAAAAGTACTCCGGCACAGGCTGATTTTTGCTCACACCTCTTGTTTCCAAAGTAGTATTGTAGGACAAATCCTGACTGGGATTCCCCGCCCCCCCATATCACAATTTGATCTTCCTTAGAGCATTTTTAAGCAGAAAGACTTTTGAACATCTCATAACAGATAGAGGACCTGAGAAACCCCTTCCCCCTTTCTTTTGTGGTTAGCTGCACATTCTTTCATTTGTAGCAAAGTGTAGCTAAGCAGTCCACGTAGGGTTTTAAAACAGTATGGAACATCATTTATGAAATGCATAAAGCACTGCTTTGATAATGCAGGTCACTGAAAACCCCAAAATCTTTTTCTGAATTGAGAATAAATTATAATCCAGAGAGGCCATTGGGTAAAATATTCCTGCATTGCAGGGGGTTTGGACTACATAAGACTTATGGTCCTTTCCAACCCTATAATTCTTTGCTTCTATGATCTGGGATCTGCAAGCTATTATATGGAGGGCATTTCAAACCCTCTTCATGTGTCAGTTCCATGTTGTTTCTATCTTTGGGTTTTGACCCCGCATATACCTTGCTCCAACAACTCTGCAAGCCATCACAAGCTCTATATGGTAACCATGTGGGCTGCTTTAAAAGACAACCACCACAACAAAAATATTGAACAACATCTCGATAGTCTACATTCAACAATTTAACGGGAGATGCTCTTTTAAATAGATTTCATCCCCACACAAGTTTCTTTAAACTATGCAAGCTGGTGCAGTTTAGTTCAGCCTCCCCTTCCAGATATTTTGGTGCGCATTAGCCGGATTGTTGGCCCTGCTGCCTGGGACTGATGGAAGTTGTAGTCGAAAACATCCGAACGGCACCAAGTTGGGGAAGATTGTTCCATTAAATCAAAATAAAAAGGCGCTTTAACTTTTATACAGTTTGCGGTGGAAGAAAGTGGGCAGGAGGCAACTGTACATTTCCTTACTCTTGAACTTCCTATCAAGAGAGGGAAAGCAGAAACAAAAAAGAGAGGGAAAACCCACATGTATGTTGTATACAGAGCAGGATCTTCTCAAGAGGTTATCCTCTTGGGAGAAGGTCTATAGGGATATCTATAAAGTATGCAACAAGGAAGGAAATGTAGTATCAAGGAAACAGAAGGAAAAGTTGTGGTAAAGAAAAGTTCAAGTGCGACATGCTGGGTTAAAATTGCTGGCATGTATGGCATACTTTATGGGCAATAATGTGCAAACACTACAGAATCAGTTAAAAAACTCCAAAACCAACAGCAACTAGCTCTTGATTCTGTGTGTTGACAGGAGCTTGATCTTCAGTTGCAGATAATGCTTGTCTAGCTTCATTTTTCATTTACCATATTTTTCACTCTACTAGACCACAAGACGCAACTAGTTTTTGGAGGAGGAAAACAAGAAAAAAAATATATTCTGAATCTCAGAAGCCAGAACAGCAAGAGGAATCGCTACACAGTGAAAGCAGCAATCCCTCTTGCTGTTCTGGCTTCTGGGATAGCTACGCAGCCTGCATTCGCTCCATAAGACGCACACACATTTCCCCTTACTTTTTAGGAGGGAAAAAGTGAGTCTTATAGAGCAAAAAATACGGTACTTTGTTCTCTACTGATTTATGCAGCTCAAACTGCTGTTAAAGAACAAGATCAGGCCAGAGCATTCCCCTCCCTTTGCTGATCTTTGGTGCACCTACTTTAGGCTCCACCTTGCTGAGTAACTCTCGCAGGTGCATCAAACCTCTTTGCTGTTTTAAACATATTAAAAGGGGCCTGGTGATATCTCTTACATGGAAATGGGAAAAGTCATTAATTCACAGCGGGGGATGCAGCCACAGAGCTGAACAGCAGAACTGTAGGTTCCCCATTTAAAACACTTAGTATTTTAGAAAGGAAATAAGAATGTTTGCATTTAACATCTGTCAAAATCGAAACAGCACTGATTAGATGCCTGTTTGAACAAATGTATTGATCACTAGAGGAGCAAGCCTATGCTGTCTACTCAGAAGTCAGGATGGTCCCCAGAAATGCACAGCTATTCGAAAGGTTCGAAAGAAAGACGCCATGGTGGCTGTCACCCCAAGAGGCTTTTTCACTGAAAAGACTAAATATGAAAGGAAAATGGTTGACCTATAGAGACATGTTAATGGAAGAGAACAATGTAATTAAGATCAAACCATATGAGGAATTGAAAGATAAACTGCAAAGTTGGATGGAGTACCATCAAATGGGTGATATCTTCTCAAAGGATAAGAAAACAAGAGGGTTTGAACTAACAAAATCAATATTAGAAACTGCAGTACTACAAAATAACAAAAAAGCACTGTCTAAGGTCTATGAGTATTTATTAGAATGGCACACAAAAGATGAAGAAATCAAAAGTGTCATGATTAAGTGGGCAATAGATGTAAGCCACAACATTGAGTATGAAAAGTGGATAAAATTATGGAATACCGGCCTAAAATTTACAGCATGTACATTGTTAAAAGAAAATCTGTTAAAAATGATGTACAGATGGTACCTCACGCCAATTAAATTGTCAAAGATGTATAAAACAGGAAGGAAAAATTGTTGGAAGTGTGGGGTGAAAGAAGGTAGTTTCTTCCACATGTGGTGGACTTGTGACATAGTGAAAACGTATTGGGAAAATATATATAACGAATTAAAGAAGATTTTCAGGTATACGTTTTTGAAAAAACCAGAGTCATTCCTGTTGGGAATGGTGGGAGAAGACATTGACAAGAATGACCAGAAACTGTTCTTATACACAACAACGGCGGCGAGGTTATTACTGGCTCAGGTATGGAAACAGCAAAAATTGCCTATAATAGAAGAATGGCAGTACAAAGTTCTGGAGTATGCAGAAATAGCCAAATAACAGTAAAAATTCGACATCAGGGGGATGAAACATATCAAAAAGAATGGGGAAAATTTATGTTATATATAGAGAAGATGATGTGAAATAGGGAACCAGTAGAATTAAAATAATATCTCATAACTGGAAAATACAAGAAATTTATGGGAATAATATCATAATGAATTAAAAATGTATATTAGGACTATTATTGAACAATATTTGTAAATGAATATAGACAGACAACAAGAACTTCTATATATAGAAAGATTTATTTGTTTACGGACATTTAATGGAAAAAATGAAGAAGAACAATCTTATCGAAAATGGACAAAGACAATGCAAAAAGTCAAAGAGGACATAAAAAAGCCAGAAGAAGGAAGGAGGGAAGTCAGCTCGGGAGAGCAAGAATAAATGTGAAATATAATGTATGTGTATGTACAGTATGTAACTAAAATTTTAATAAAGATCATCTGGGGGGGGGGAAATGCACAGCTATCCTTCAAAATTCTAATTTCTCTTGAGTTTTGTGATGCTGCTTCTCCAGCCAAAAGCTGTGTGCAAAAATGCATATGTTAGTGAATAATGATATGTGTTTGTGTGTAAATTGCATACAAAATGTGCACTAAAATTTCCATGAGTACCATAAAAAAATTATTGCAATTTGATCTGGAAATGTAGAGAACTGAAAAAATATGAAAATGAGATAATTCAAAACTGACAGATTCACCCATCCCTACTCAAAAGTAAGTTCCATTGAGTGCAGTGGGATTTATTCTCAGGCAAGTGTGCCTAGAATTCTAATTATCCTTTTACAAACACACACACACACAATATTACAATTACTGATGAATTGCATCTCGCCTAACCCCCGATTGAGCATTCAACAGTATCTAAAGGGTGAACTGAAATATAAAGAATTTAGTATAAAAGAAGTAGATAATGAACAGGAATGAGTCCGATCACCTTTATCTAAGGCTGCTGATGCTGCTTCTGTTCTGTTCAAGAAAAAGTCATCTTTGCTCAGTGGGGGTTTCTGGTATCCTCTGATCTGTGCAGTTTAGAGATAAAAGGAGCTCAGCATGGGCCAATAGTAAACAAAGGGAAACACATAAAGATATTATTAAGACAGGTCCAGGAATCAGAGTCATGGATTGTATCCACGGGGTACAAATTGGACTGGGCTGCTGGCATGGAAACAGCTTGGGTGTTCAGTGCCTCTCAAGAATATATACCGGAGATTTCAGCATCTCCTGTGGGTATGGCTCTATCTCAGCCTCAATGACCTATGGCTAGGGTTGTATTAATGCGCATCATGAGAGTTTCCAGTTCAAACACAGCATGAGACACAACATCTGAGGGGGGGGGAAGAGGGTTTCAAAATTTAATTCATATAATGCACTGCTGAAGCAGTGAGCCAGGAAAGATCTCATGAGCCACAAAATTATTAAATGGTCTTAAGGCAGGGATGAGGAACCTGTGGCCAGATATTGTTCAACTCCAATTCCCATCATCCCTGACCATTGGCCGTGCTAGCAGGAATTGTAGTCCCATAGCATTTGGAGGGCCACTGGTTCCCAACCTTACATATTGATCTATGCTACAAATATCAACTGCTATCATCAGCAACCTCGGGACAACAATGCTATCCTGATTTACTTACTAATATCCAGTGTGCCTCTCTGAGCCAAAGACTCCCAAGGCAGCCAACAAAAGCAATGAGCATATTAAAATGATGTGCTTTTAATATGTTTATTGCTTTTAACATTTATAATAGCCAAAAGGTTGTAAAAGAGAAAAAAAGTAGGCTTCTTGGCGTTATAGAACCATAAAGCAAAACAACAACAAAAAAATCTAAAGTCAGTTATCTTTAAAAGACAGAAATAATTAAAAATGTTATTATCTGTCACCTAATACATAGGGAGGGACGTGGGTGGTGCAGTGGGTTAAACCACTGAGCCTCTTGGGCTTGCCAATCAGAAGGTCGGCGGTTCGAATCCTCGCGACGGGGTGAGCTCCCGTTGCTCAGTCCCTGCTCCTGCCAACCTAGCAGTTCGAAAGCACCTCAAAGTGCAAGTAGATAAATAGGTACCGGTCTGGCAGGAAGGTAAATGGCGTTTTCGTGCACTGCTCTGGTTCGCCAGAAGCGGCTTAGTCATGCTGGCCACATGACTCGGAAGCTGTACGCTGGCTCCCTTGGCCAGTAAAGCACAATGAGTGCCGCAACCCCAGAGTCGTCTGCGACTGGACCTAACGGTCAGGGGTCCCTTTACCTTTACCTTTAATACATAGGGAGGGCACTTGATGAATGGACAGAGCTGGTTATTATTATTATTTGCTGAGGCCTCACAGCAAAAAAAAAAAGCCCTGCTCCATGTTGCCATTTATTGCAACATTAAAAGTGGGAACACCCTGAGCGCACCTCTGAAGATGTTCTTAATGCTTGGCCAGACTCATTGCAGAAAAGCCAACTTAACCCGGAGCTCTCTATGGGACTGAGGGTATGTGCATTTTCTTTCAAATCAGTCAGGAGCCTTGAGGAAGCACAAGCCAGTGTTATCCCAAACATATTTTTTTAACCTTATTGGGAGGGTTCTGAGGGGCTCAGGCTGCAACTGGACTTTGACTCAAGGGCTCCCTGTGAAGACCTTCAGTCATCGCATCACTGATTGAGCCTACATCTTTTGGGAAAAGTAAACCAGCATGCACCCTGGTTTTCAAACCTGTGCTGGGTTTCCCCAGCACAGAACTTATCTCCAGTTGCTGCTCCCTGGGACTCAGCTATGACATTGGATCCTCAGGGCACAATGAAACTTGGAGACCACTTCTCTTCACTCTGTTTCTTGGGACAGGTCATTATCAGTATCTTCTGCCTTTTATCTTTCTAATATTTCTAATCTTACTGCCTTTGAAACTTGTTAGTCCAAACCCAGTCATTTGCATTTGATTCCTCCACCCTGTGCATTTCAGACCCATACTGCTATTTTCCCTAGCTGCCTGGCATCTGTTTTCATCCATATAAGGGCCCCGCCCCCACCTGCCTGTCTCTCTCTCTCTCTCTCTCTGCAATGGGAACTATTTCAGCTTATGATCCATGCAACCTGGGCTTGAGTGCCCTGTGTAAGCTGCAGGAATTAACCACCTTGCTATTTTCTGTTTCTCTCCTGGTGCTTTGAGCCACAAAGCAATGCTTATTTACTGTCTGTGGTCTGGTGTAAATAAGCATTTCTATTCAAGTAGATTGGCTTTTATTGGTTTTTGCTAATTTCCAGCCCAAATAAGCAAGGCAATACTGTATGGGTATTTACAGTATTGCATTTCCAGAGTAATTTGGTCCACTGCAATAGCATCTGCGGTTCACAGTTCTCGAAACAGAAAGGAGGCAAGCTCCGGTGCTTCTGGTAATCAACTGTTTATTTAGTTCAATGTGTTGAAAGCTATCAACGGCAAAGATCCCCGATATAGTACCTTCATGAACAAATGTGTAAGATGCAGTGTCTTTCTGTGTGTGAGTGTGTTTGTGTAAACACACAAAAAGATCGGGTAGAAAGAGCAGACACTTCTTCCAGTATCCTGGGTATTTGAGGACGAAGAGCTGCACTTAATTATGCTTGGAAACAAATAGGAACAAGCACTGGCAGGATCATTCTCCATTTCTAAAGTTCAGAGGTGCTTCACCATGTAGTCAGAATAACAACATCCATGCATAAGAAGCTAGAGTAACACCACCAGATTGTCCAAGTGTCCCTATTTTCCAGGGACAGTCCTGGATTTACAGAAGCCTCTCCGGATTTCTGATTTGATCTCAGAATGACCTGCTTTTCCTTAAGGTAAGGTAAAAGGACCACTGACCATTTGCTTTATTGGCCAAGGGAACCGGCATACAGCTTCTGGGTCATGTGGCCAGCATGACTAAGCCGCTTCTGGCGAACCAGAGCAGCGCACGGAAATGCCATTTACCTTCCCACCGGAGCAGTACCTATTTATCTACTTGCACTTTGACGTGCTTTCGAACTGCTAGGTTGTCAGGAGCAGGGACCGAGCAACGGGAGCTCACCCTGTTGTGGGGATTCGAACTGCCGACCTCTGATTGGCAAGTCCTAAACTTTGTGGATTAACCCACAGTGCCACCTGTGTCCCTCTGCTTTTCCTTAGGATGTCCTTATTTTCTTTGGAAAAATGTTGGAGGGTATGGAGTTATGTGACCTCTGAGCAGGATTCACATAGAAAACATCTGAAGGCGTGTTTTATTAGGTTTTAATATATGTTGAAAGCCGAATGGCTTGGGCAACCCAGTCAGATGGACTGGATAGAAATCATCACCATCACCCCTATTTTCATTGGAGAAATGTTGGAGGGTATGCACCAGACTTTGTAGAACTACAAACAACAAGAACAACAACAACCTACAATTAATTTTAGATGGGCTAATTGGACTTTAGTCATTTCTTCTTAACACTCATATGCATCTATTGCCCCCTCAGTAGCAAAACTCCTGTGCATCATTTGAAAAAAAGCAGTAGCTGAGCTGATCAGCTTTGTTCAACCTTCCCTGTACAGAAAAAGGCCAGTGCATCAATCAATACCAATGCAGAACATAATAAATTCCTATTCCCCTTGCATTCCCACCCCGCACCAACTACTCTGTAGAAATGTGTAACATATAAGCTTGTCGGCGGGGTGGGTCTCGAAAGTGAAAAGGGTGAAAGGTTACATTTGCACGCAAATGGCAACATGCTGGTCAAGCTCTATCCAGAGGGCAGGCCTAGATATTGTTACTTCATCCCATAGACTCTTGGAATCATGTGCAAAGAAGAGTGGTGCAAGGCCAGGATTTATGATGCTTCAGTTTCCATGCTGGTCTCAACACTCATGTTTCAAATAGGACGAATGGAGAGACACACCGGAATCCACATTTTCCTCTGATGACGGAATAAGGCAGAGGCTGCTGCATTGCTGCATTTCGGTGACATAACACAAAGGTGCAACACACATCACAGATGATCTGCCATGTCTACTTTTGTCTGTGCTCGGGTGATACGTGTAAATAGTGCTGACTTTAACTTTCTGCTCTGGGTTCCATTTTAATTTCCCTAAACCCTGACCAATAGCTGTCAGATACACGGTTAACACATCTGAGGGTCCTAAAAGAAGCCAGGTGAGCCTTTGAGGGGAAAAAGCAACTAAATTACAGGGTAAAGGTCAAAAAGCCTTTTTGTGAGGGAACATCAGAGGTGATTTGTAAGCAGCAAACACAACCAGCTTGTTTTGGGGTTTTGTTGTTGATGTTTGATGATTTAAATCAGGGGTCAGCAAACATTTTCAGCAGCGGGCCAGTCCACTGTACCTCAGACCTTGTGGGGGGCCGGACTATATTTTGAAAAAAATATATGAACAAATTCCTATGCCCCACAAATAACCCAGAGATGCATTTTAAATAAAAGGACACATTCTACTCATGGAAAAACACACTGATTCCCGGACCGTTCACGGGCCGGATTTCAGAAGGCGATTGGGCCGGATCAAGCCCCCAGGCCTTAGTTTGCCATACCCATGATTTAAATTATCTTTCAAACTTAGATGGCTTTTAAAAAAAAATCTGGTATCAGCATTTAATTGTCACGTTTAAAGCAGGCTGACCAGCTAAAACTCCTTGAGCCATTGTTTTGACAGGGATAGTTCTCAGCATAGACCTTTATAATATCTTAGCAAATTTGTGTTCCCAAACCAGTAGTGTGTAGGTTTTCCGGAAAATTTTGAACTGGGAAAATTTTCTTCCAGGGAAAATAGTCAGATACCCTAAATCAATTGCAATCAAATTTAGAATGCTTGTCTTATATTTTAGGATTTTAAAAACAAATCACAACTGTAAACCAAGCTTGCCGATTACTTATTTATGTGTGTTTGTGTATGCATCCCAAAGTATTTAAAGCAAAATATTTCATTAGGAGGAGAGAGGAAAACAGAAACTTTCATATGGTTTAAAGGTTATATTTAAACAAATAAACACATCATTTTGAAAGCTATTTTTATGGGAATTCTTGTAGTATT